GAGACGCTACTACAACAGCTAATGAAGCAGCTTCTAGAGCAATGCACAAGCGAGAGGTGAAGTCGTTATAGGGCTGAAGCCGAAGGCTGACTAATGATGTATACTACGAAATGGCATGTATATATCTATTCGTAAGTATTGTTTCAGCTAATTCACTCTTGTATGGAATTTCAAGTGTATTCTAAGTCCATTTAAATAAAAAAAACTAAAAACGAACATAAAACCATAGAAACAGGAGTAAAATGTTTAATTTGAAACAGAGATAGCATCACTTCAAGAGCTATATCAAATCAGGTCTATAAGTTTTTTTAAGGCTAGGCTCTCAGTTTTAGCAGTCGACCAAGACGTAGCAACCAAGGTGTTATCGAAAGAAGTGTTTCAAAGATCACTTTAATCACTTGGAGCAATCGGCATGATTGATTAGCCAGAAGTAGATCTCACCATTTTGTGCATTGTAACAAGAGCCTGTGTGCCAGATCGAGATACTGTGATCGACTGAATGGCATGCATCTCTTTGAAAAGTGTGACGTGAGTCAGTAAACCATAACTAGCGCCTGGTCCACCTGAGCCCACTTCGCCTGGCTCTCCGCTACAAGCCTGGCCGATGGAACCATTCAAGGTGGACGTTGTAGACGCCTGTGCGTTGATGCCTCCCACGGCTGCTGAAGAAGCTACGTTTGCTGGGTTTGCCGAGTTCGTGGTTGTGGTTGTAATTAAAGAAGTCGCCGTTGCTGAAGCTGACACTGTAGTCGACGGTGAGGTCGAAGCCGATGTGACGGAAGAGCCAGATGCGGCAGCAATTGGGAGTGGACAATCACTAGAGGACGCAGTCGTCCCACTGGCTGTGTGGGCTGGCAAGGCACCGACGTTAGAACCAATAGAGCCAGACTCAACAAGACCAAGGCTAGGACCAATTGGGCTCCCAAGTCGAGAGGCCATGAAGAGTTGATCGTGCTGGATGTAAAAAAACGTTGAAAAATGATATTACCAGGTAAGTGACTGTGTTGAGTATACTAAAAGTATGAAATGAACCAGAACGGACCTCATTTGCTTAATACTAGAGTAATACATTTGCTAGATATGAATATGGAATTTTATTGGCATAAATTAAACTGAAGATTGTGGACAAAAACCATTTTAATTATGGCCAAGTACCGTAAAAATGTACTCGTTATTTGGAAAGCTTGTTTCTAGCACAGGCAAACGAATCGAGCGCTAAGTTGGAAGTGCTGGCAGGATTCATTGCAGATTAAAAGTGATTATTTAAACAATGCAAATTACACACAATGTTTCTATTCTCTATCTGACTTTATACTCCTTATGAAACAAAAGAACAATCTAAAGGTGAAATATTTTTAATGTTTCTTTGAAATGAAAATAAAAATTTACTTCAATTTCATGGCAAAATTAGATGGCTATCTTAACTTCGCTCTTTGATACTGTAATAGCAGAAGAAAATTTCTTGAATATAGACAAAATGCATGGTAAATATTAACAAAAATAATAGACGTGCCAAGTAACTGGTCGATTAGCCTATAGACGCCTTCACAATTGGGGAACTAGTGAAAAGTCTTTTTATCCACTAATAAAGTCAACTAAGAAAAATTAATTATTTGTGTGAGATCAGAGCAAGCCATAAGCAAGCCACTAAAAGCAAAACAGGTGATCTATATCGACTAGTTAACTTAAGCCAATTTGCAGAAGCTTAAGGAATCCGACTAGTTGACAAGGCTAAATTATATTGACCTCAATAAAGTAGCATTCAGATAAAATATCGGATCTTTTATATCAACAGTATGAAACAATAAGTGATGAGTATAGTCAGCCAAGCCCAACGATTTTTTATCAGAAATAATGATCATTTTTTCTATGTACGACTTTATGAATGGCACAATGTACAAAATGTGTGTAAACTATTGAGGGGAACGTCGATTGCAGGCTAATCCAAACTTTTTTATTATAACTGTCACGGTGTTAGAAACATACAAAGTAGTTTTCCAACCTTGAGAAATTTCTTCAACTCAAAATGGCTAGCAGCCAAACAAGCAATATATATATATATATATACATGTATGCATGTATGTATACAAAAATCCAGGAATTTTGCATTAATGGCGAAATAATATTGACAAGTAGGAAAATGTAGACTCCAGCAAGCCTTCCTGGCTATTTAGAGAAAGAGCCAACTGGAATACGAGGCAATAAATTCTTATTAGAAGGTATGAAGACCAAGATGGTATGACCTTTTGTGTGGTCACAGACTCCTTTCGTTGTATAGAAGTAGTTTGACCTTGTTTTCGCAACTCGGTCATATTGGCAGGAAGACTTAGAGGTACGCATTTAGTCCGGAGTACATTGTATGCGTGATCATTTCCAAAGTCGGACCGTGGGCGAGGTACATTCCCAGGACAGAAGGGGAGATACCACAACTGTTTAGCACACGTTTGGCCGAAGAATCGGTTTCACTTGTCTCTGTGACGAGTTGTTATGTGGTGCTAAGAATGGCGAGACTCACTGACAATGCCAGCGAAACGTTCGGGAAATGATTATGCATACAATGGACCCCGGAATAGGTGCATTCTACTAAGTCTTACTGCCAATATGACCAAGTTGCGAAAATAAGGTCAAACAGCCTCAATAAATTTTTAATTATGCATAAACCGTAGATATGTACGCATTATATTAAGATG